TGAAATAAATCCTCATGGACATGTATCCTAACATGTATAATCTATGTACCAAGTTTGAATGAAAACTGACAAAGCATGCCCAAAATACAAGATGGCTGCCAGTCGGCCATTTTGAATCGAATCGCTAAACCACTGCATGTGCATATGTCCCACATAAAGTACTAGGCACATGCAAAGAATGAACAGAATCGGTCCAAGGGATTCTGAGATATGACTCCGGACGGTCACACGGACAGACGCACAGACGAACGGAGACTGAATTATAAGTCTCCGTTTTCGGACTTCATCCGAACAGGGACTAATAAAATGCATGTAAAATTCACCTATCCGCCATGCCCCTGTGTAGGAGTTGACCTGTTCTTTTACCTGATAGGTCAAGTCGTTAATTAACCACTCGAAATGCCGGATGATGCCAACGTGATTAAATTACCATAGCTCATTTGATTAATGCATGTTAATGTATGAACGCAACACGGAAGAGATGTGTCGATGTTTGCGATCTTTTGGCTTTGATTTTGATGGGAAAACAGCATGATTTTTTTTTTTCAAATAAACTGAGCATTTAAAGAATAATTTAACATTGTGGATTGCATTGAGTTCACATAAATTTTACAGGTGAAATAACGAAAACAAAACAAAACACTAGTCCTTCGGACTTCCATCCATGCACTTTGCTGGTCCTGATTGAAATTCACTAAACTCAGTGTAGAGAACCAGCGTGACTGTCTAACCCAGAGTGTGTGTATTTTAAACACTTTAAATAATCTAATTTTTACAAGACATGCTTCAATTTAAATTTTAATCAATTCTACAAGAAAAACAATGTGTATGATTTTTGAAGAGCTAACTTACTGGCAATGGCTATGACTTTGGATGAAATGGTTTTCATAGTTTCATCTCCACCTTTGCCTTCTTTTACTAGCATCACTAGTTCTCGTACTAAGGTTCTAACATAACACTGATTCTTGAACATTTCATTAATAGCTCTGAAACAAAGAACACACATGTTGAGCAATGATTTTGAAAGCATTGTACCTGCCATCCAAGTTCCCCAATGTTCCCATTAGATGGAAGTAGTGCTTACCATCCTTGCCCCCTCCATGTTTCCATGAAATAAAATCATTACCCATGCCATTCAAGTCTCCCTCAATCTTCCTATGAGATGAAAGTATTTTGGATGCCATCTTTCATACTTGGTTTGATTTAATTAGTCTGTTCATTGCTGTACAGTACCACAAACACCAGCCACCCTGAAACTTATTCCACAAGCCAACATTTCAGGCTGTTCGCAAGAGTTAAAAACCTGGAGTATTGCTAGACTTACTTAACCGCATGGTCATCTATAGCTGAGTACAACTGGTAAAATTTCAGCATTCTTTCTTTAGTGTCAAGATTATAGGGTACTAAAGTCATAGTAAATATTCTTTCCACCAGCAATCTGAAAACAAATGCACAATTATGCAAATCAGCTGACATAGAGAATAGAGAAGAATAGCCTTCAACAACATAATAATGGCAATGTTAATGAAGATCATACCTATACATTACAAAGTCAGTGTGAAGTACACAAGTAATTCACAGATATACTGACCTCACCATTACATAATAATGGCAATGTTAATGAAGATCATACCTATACATTACAAAGTCAGTGTGAAGT